AAGTAAGCGGCAATGGGGTGGAAACAACCGATGACAAGGTCACGCACCAGTGCTCCCGAGCCGAGAGACGTCGCCTCTCTCCGCAGCTGGCTAGGCCTGGTAAACTACTATGGCAAGTTTTTGCAGGGCCTTGCATCAAAGCTCTCGCCCTTGTATGCACTTCTCAGAACCAACCGGCCATGGCGGTGGACAGAGGTTGAGCAGAGGTCTTTTGACGAGGCAAAAGGTCTGTTAAAAAATCCACCGGTGCTGGCCCATTTCGATCCAGCTCGACCGGTGATCCTGGCCTGCGACGCGAGTCCGGTGGGATTGGGCTGTGTACTCAGCCAACGGAAGCCTCAGGGAGAGCGCCCAGTCGCTTTCTACTCGAGGTCACTTAACCCGCGCACCGACGGGGGTCTGCGCCAACTTAGTACCGACGGGGGGGGGGGGGCGGATGACCGCCCCCCCCCTGAGATCTCGAGAACGAAGCAAGATAGCGACAAGCGGTAAACGGCATCGGATACGCACGGTCAAGATCTACAATTTTTACAAAGGTCATTTTCAGGTCAGGTCAAAGATGACGTCACAGGGGTCGAAAAAGTCAAAATGGCGGCGCTGAATATGGAGAGAGTTTTTCTCGAATAACTTTCGAATTAGTCAAGATAGGAACAAACTAAGGGCATCATCGTGATCCTCTCGTCAATCCGCATCGAATGATATATATGTTGACCTCGAAAGGTCAAGGTCAAAGGTTGACCTCAGGTCACGTGACCTCGAGGTCATCATGTATATCATTCGATGCGTCTTGACGAGCTGAACACAATGAGACCATCCACGCGTCTGTATCTTGTTCCTGTACGGAGTTATTGGCCAAAAACCTTTGGTGACCTTTGATGACGTCACATGACCTCACAGCTGCCCAACAGCAAAACAGACCTCAAGGTAGTGAAGGTTGATCGTATATGAAGTCATGTATGGTATATGGGGCCATTCCGACCCGTTTTAGTGGTAAAAACAGGGAGTCGATTTTTCCCCCATTGACTTATAATGGGGAGGTCGCGAAATTGACCTGACCTTAGGTCACCGATATCAAAATTCCGAGATATACAAATTGTAGCTACTAATGACCTAATAACATCCTGCGACTTTCAAATGCCTCCGACATATACTGTAGCTCTGGCACGGTGACAAAGTTGCAAAAAAGTGACTTGAGGTTGGGTCATTCAAAGTGACCTGGTGACCTGACCTTGAAAGGTAGGAGGTTCAAACTTGCACACCATGTGTAAAATTGATAAGGGAATAGTCATACCAAATTTCGCGGCGCTACGCGCCGCGGTTTTCCCGCTATTCGCGAAAAACCTCAGGGGGGGGGGGGGCGGATATCCGCCCCCCCCGTCGGTGCGCGGGTTAATGATACGGAAAAGCGGTATTCCCAGACAGACAGGGAAGACCTGGCAGTCATATCTGGGGTCAAAACGTTCCACTACTACCTGGCGGGTTGTCCGTTTGTGGTTCGGACGGACCACAAATCTTTATTGGGCCTGATCGGGGAGATGAAACCGCTTCCTTTGATGGCATCTCCCAGAGTAGTTCGGTGGGCCCTCATGTTAGGCGCTTACGACTACCACTTGGAATATGCGCCCGGAGTACGACAGGCACATTGCGACGCCCTCGGCAGACTGCCGTTGCCTGCGGCCACCCTGTCTAGTCCCGTGCCCGCAGAGACGATCCATGTAATGGAATTTTTAGACGCTTCACCAGTGACTGTGGATCACATTCGATTGTGGACCTCCCGTGATCCAATCCTGTCAGCCGTGATGCATTGCGTTAAGAATGGGTGGCCGGCAACGGGAGATGTGTTATCGCCGTCTTTCCGACCGTATCGGTCTCGACAGGCCGAACTGAGTATTCAGGATGGATGCCTCCTGTGGGGCACACGGGTGGTCATTCCGGAGCAAGGGAAAAGCAAAATTTTGAAACCTCTTCATGATGGTCACAATGGCGAAACACTAACAAAATCATTCGCTCGCATGTACGGCCCTCCAGGTAGTGGTTGGTTGCCACCATCACAATAAGCAATCTGCATTGATGAATACGTCTAATGGCTGTTGAAAACCATTGCCGAAGTGTGTGCACGAACCCTCTTCTCATTTCTATTGAGTCATTTTACAGGAGTGTCTCTGTCATTCAAAGTTATTACACCAAAAGCACATAGTGTGTCAGGCTCACCGGGCTAACGTACCCGAAACCTCAATTCATCCGTGGGTATGGCCCAAAAAAACGTGGGAGCGTATCCACGTGGACTACTGCAGGCCGGTGAACGGTTGGATGTTTTTGGTGGTCACAGACGCGCATTCAAAGAGGATGGACATATATCCGTCACGAACTTGTACCTCTGAGGTCACTATCGAATTCCTTCGTGAATGGTTTGCGACCTGGGGACTGCCGAAAACGCTTGTATCTGACAATGCTCAGTGTTTCATGTCGGAGCAATTTAAAGCATTCTTCTGTCAATTGAATGGTGTCTGTCATCTGACCTCCCCAGCGCTGTCACCTAAGTCAAACGGATTGGCAGAGCGCAGCGTCCAAACTTTTAAAATGAGCATGCGTAAACAGACCACTGGCAGTGTGCACACTAAAGTATCACGTGTTTTGTTCCGCTATCGTGTCACGCCACACTCAACTACGGGTGTGACTCCTGTAGAGTAATTTTTAGGTAGGACGGTCCGCACGCCGTTAGATCTGGTGAAGCCGGACGTAGAGAGCAGAGTGAGGAAACACCAGACGAAACAAAAACTGTATGCTGATCGTGGCTGTCAGGAGCGTAGTGTGCGGGTGGGTGAAGCAGTGTATGTGGGAGCTGTAGACCATTTACAGGGAACAGAGAGGAGCAAATGGCTTGCAGGCGTGGTGGTAGAACAGCATGGTGTTAAGGTTGCCGTTCAATTGCAGGATGGGAGCGTCATTTGGAGACACGTGGACTGGGTCCGCCGGCGGTCGGTGATGGCTGGAACTGAGGCCCGGCCGCCGCTCGTTCGCCGGTGGGACGGCAGCGCGGCCGTCTCCCCGCCGTATGAGCCTCCCCGGCTGGACTCTGAGACCGCCGTGGAGGGAGCGCGGCCGTCTCCCCGCCGTGTGAGCCTCCCCGGCTGGACGCTGAGACCGCCGTGGCGCCGAGTGGGCGGCCGAGCCCCGCGGCCGCTGCGCCGGAACCCGTGGCACCGGCCTCCGCAGTCGCTCTGTCGGCCCCTGGGACACCGCATGTCCCCGATGTACCGCGCTACCATCTACGACCGCGCGATTCGCTGCGTCCTCCCCAGCGGTTTCAGTGTTCGTAGCACTGCGATTCAGTGATCTTATGTGTGTTGTTTAAAGCCTTTTTAGTAATGGTAACTATTATCTGGTTTGCGTTTCCAAGTGGTTTTGTGTTGAATGTTTGCTACTATGGTTTAAGTGTTATGGTTTCATGGTCTAGGTTTTGCGAGGAACATCACCGAAATGCTCCGGGGTGGAAGGGTGTAATAGTTTGAACCCTGGACCCGCCCGTGTGCGCTGCGTTTGAACCCTGGACCCGCCCGTGTGCGCTGCGCCCGCCACTGTGAGCCTGCGCCCGCCACTGTGAGTCAGAGTGGCCTGACCTCGCCTCGGGCGGTGGAGCCCAGGCTGGGGACGGTGTGTCTGCCTGAAATAAACAGTTCAGCTCGGGACGCCACTGCGTCTGTTTCAGGCCCTCTCCTTCTCAGGCATAATATGGTACCTCCCAGACCTTGCCCATGGGCCCTTTCATTTAAATGGGCCCTCTCAGACGTGGCATGGGGCCTCTTTAGCCCGGACCCTTTCTACAGCCTGAGAAGATAGGACAGGGCCACAATCACCCAAGATACAAAAATAAATGATTTTGTTTCACCTTTTTTTTTTGCTAAATTGGGCCCTTTTGAAAAACATGGGCCAAAGTCCGTAAGTTTTATCGTAGCGGCGGCATCTTGAGAAGGCCCCTTTGGCTTGATTCCCCACTCCTGAAGTCATTTATACAGCTCTGCCCAGAAAGCTGCTTTCTGCACACCCAGAGAGCATTCCGTCCACAGGCTGACTGCTGGCTGAAAGAGGGCCGGCCAGTGTTCAGAGTTGGGGTGGGGGCTGCTCCCCTGTGGCGCCGTCCCTGGCAGTGGGCCGGCTGTGGCCCAGTTCAGAGTTGGTGTTCAGAGTTGGGGTGGGGGCTGCTCCCCTGTGGCGCCGTCCCTGGCAGTGGGCCGGCTGTGGCCCAGTTCAGAGTTGGTGTTCAGAGTTGGGGTGGGGGCTGCTGCCCTGTGGCGCCGTCCCTGGCAGTGGGCCGGCTGTGGCCCAGTTCAGAGTTGGTGTTCAGAGTTGGGGTGGGGGCTGCTCCCCTGTGGCGCCGTCCCTGGCAGTGGGCCGGCTGTGGCCCAGTTCAGAGTTGGTGTTCAGAGTTGGGGTGGGGGCTGCTCCCCTGTGGCGCCGTCCCTGGCAGTGGGCCGGCTGTGGCCCAGTTCAGAGTTGGGGTGGGGGCTGCTGCCCTGTGGCGCCGTCCCTGGCAGTGGGCCGGCTGTGGCCCAGTTCAGAGTTGGTGTTCAGAGTTGGGGTGGGGGCTGCTCCCCTGTGGCGCCGTCCCTGGCAGTGGGCCGGCTGTGGCCCAGTTCAGAGTTGGTGTTCAGAGTTGGGGTGGGGGCTGCTCCCCTGTGGCGCCGTCCCTGGCAGTGGGCCGGCTGTGGCCCAGTTCAGAGTTGGTGTTCAGAGTTGGGGTGGGGGCTGCTCCCCTGTGGCGCCGTCCCTGGCAGTGGGCCGGCTGTGGCCCAGTTCAGAGTTGGTGTTCAGAGTTGGGGTGGGGGCTGCTCCCCTGTGGCGCCGTCCCTGGCAGTGGGCCGGCTGTGGCCCAGTTCAGAGTTTGGGCGGGGGCTGCTCCCCTGTGGCGCCGTCCCTGGCAGTGGGCCGGCTGTGGCCCCGTTCAGTGCGCTCAGCGCTGCCCCCGCTCTCTCGTCCATCTCCGCTGTAAACCAGACAACGAGGGCCCGCTGCCGCTTCATTTACCATCAGTCACCGACGGGCAAAACATTTCCGACACACCACCACGGCGTCGAGCACTGCGCGCGCGGGCCGCGGTCCGGCTGGCTCAGAAGTACTGCTGCAGTGACTCGCCCAGAGTGGCCTCCATCTGGCCGATGAGCGCCTGGGTGGCGGCCTCGACGCGCGGCTCGTCGTCCTCCAGCAGCTCGGCCAGGAACGGCATCGTCTCGGGCAGCAGCGCCAGGTAGTCGTCGCCGAGTCGGGCGTGCACGGCCGAGAGCGAGGCCACGGCGTCCAGCCGCACCTGAGGGCAGCCCGTACTCAGCCACACAGCCACCCCATACACACACCGACGGCGCAGCAGACACTGTCGGAGCGGCACAGCACTCCGAACACAGCACATTCCATACACTGGTCACCTGCACCATTGGACAAACCGAACACAGCACCTTCCATACACTGGTCACCTGCACCATTGGACAAACCGAACACAACACATTCCATACACTGGTCACCTGCACCATCGGACAAACCGAACACAGCATACTCCATACACTGGTCACCTGCTCCATTGGACAAACCGAACACAGTATATTCCATACACTGGTCACCTGCACCATTGGACAAACCGAACACAACACATTCCATACACTGGTCACCTGCACCATTGGACAAACCGAACACAGCACCTTCCATACACTGGTCACCTGCACCATTGGACAAACCGAACACAGTATATTCGCTGGACTATGTGCCAATACTGTGCCACCTCCCGTGCTCTGGCGCGCCCGGTCCGTACCTGCGGCGACTGGTGGCGCGTCTTCAGCAGCAGCTGGTGGTTGGCCGGCTTCCAGAGTGAGTCGTCGCCGGCGGCGGCCAGGAACGCCACCAGACAGGGCACCAAGTGACCGTGCACACGCCGCTGGCGGCGCTCCTCGGCGCCCTGCTCGTTCTCCAGCTGCCGGCACGGGCGGCCCCGTCAGACACACCCGCTGGCCATGTGGTCTGCTATATGTACAATGTACATGCGTGTGCTTGTCGTGTGGATCATAGACGTAGGAACGTTTTCCAAAGTGTGTGTGTGGGGGGGGGGGGGCAGGCTCCCAGAGGTCTACAATCTAAACCTACCCCCAAAATCCAATTTCTCCTCGGATTTCGGCCACTTTGTTTTCGCAAACATGCTCAAGGTAAAAAAAAAAATCGAGACAAAAAATGTTTAAAATTTCAGGGCGACTGCCATCCAGAAACTCATCCTCATGGACGCGTCCCCCTGTCCTCCGCAGCCGTTGGCACCTATGCAAATAAGAGAGGCATCCAGAAAAGAATCTTATTACGAGCGAGTGTGAAACGTGCAAAGCGAGTCTTTTCAATATACCTATAAAAATCAGCATGAACTGCCCAGCTAGGCTCAGCTAGGCCTGTAACGTTTTTAAGATGTTTATATATCAGCGACCTCTGCAACTGGGCTGATTGACTTATGAAAGGCCGGTGTGGGCAGTGTCCCAAAATTTGCTAGTTTTGGGTGGGAAGTGACATCCAATTGAAATCAATTTTCCACTATCATCTTCAATTTTCCAGAACAATTTTTCACTCCCAATTTTACCAATAAAGAGCACTTGCACGTACGTTTGCTGGCTGGCTTTCCTACCTCCATATTGCATTAAATCATCTTATAATGCAGCTCCCACGTTCTCCAACATTTACAAAAAAAAAATGATGATCCCTGTTTCAACTTTTAGTGCCTTTCTTACTGGCAAATTTCCACTCTCAGCCCTCTTTGCAGTGCGGAGTATCTTCCTCTTACACCCAAGCCAAAGTAAAATTTTGGGACGCTGGTGTGGGACCTTTAGAGGCCAGTTGGGCCCTCAGAGACCAGGGCCTGCAAAGGGCAGTTTGAGACCTTTAGAGACCGACTTCGGTCATCAGTGGCTAATGTGGGTCATTACAGACCAGCATGGGCCCTAAGAGGTCAGTGTCGGACCCTAAAAGACCGGCATGGGCCGGGGTTGGACCCCTAAGGCCAGGATGGACCCTCAGAGACCGATGCGGACCCTAAGAGGCCGGCATCGGGTCTTCAGAATTCAGTGCGGGGCCCTCAGAGGCACCTAAAGGTTAGTCTTGGGACCCCAGACACAGAAATGAGGCCACCTGAGGCTGGTTTAGGGACCCTCGAATGCCAGTGGAGGGCCCTCAGAGGTCAATGTGGGTTCTCACTTATTAGCGGTCAATGTAGGCACTTGACCGCTACTGAAGGGCCCTCCGAGATCAAGTGTACATAGGCGGCGGAACGGGGAGGGCACCGGGGCACCGTGCCCCCTTTGATTTGAGCCTTTTAACATTAGCCCTATGTGCGTTGCATGGAAAGAATGGGACCAAAAGTCGGCAGTGCCCCCCTTAATTGAAGGTTTTCCGCCGCTACTGTCAGTGTCTGTCAGTGTAGGACCCTCAAAGACCGGTATGGGCGCTGTTAACCCGCGACGTGCTGGGGGTGTGTGTTTTAACACCTCCTGTATTTTTTCGCGTTTTGCCGTTTGTGACACACCTTATCATACATCAATACTACACATGTTGTGAAAATTTCAGGCCAAGGTCATTCAAGGTCACGTCACCAGGTCACTTGAAGTGACCACACCTCATAAAAAGTTTCAATGTCTCCCATATCTACACATAGTAACCGATCGCTTTGAAACTTTCAGATGTTGCTAACAGCAATAGTGTGTACAAAATGTACGCCTCAGAATTTTGATATCGATGACCTAAGGTCAGGTCAATTTTGCGACATCCTCAAGTCATCATAAGTCAATGGGAGAAAACTGAAATGCGCCTCTTTTGGACGAAAGCCATTATAAACACTCCCAAACACTGAATTACAAGTAACTTAGACACACTGAACATGAAAATGGTGTCCGTGACGACCCCTGTTTATGCCCCTCAGGTCATCTCAGATCACGAATGGTGTCTAACAGTTTTTCGCAAATAACTTTTGATAGAGGCATACTAGAGCGATGAAAACACCTTAGATGTGTTCATTTCGACGATACAGATCGATTGATATGCAACATGACCCTTTCCGGTCAGGTCATGACCTTGACCTGAGGTAAAATTTTCAAGTTGACATTTCGAAGTCAAATTATAGGTAGTTCATTCGATGCGTCTTGACGAGAGGAACACGATGCCGGTAAAACTAAGCTCGTGCATGGCTTGAGTGAAAAGTTATTGCAGAAAAACTTCCGAAAAAACGGTTGTTTTGGCAGTTTTTGGCCCCTGCAGGTAAAACCGCTGACGTTAGGTGAAATCTGAGAGAATTATTCAGAAAGGTCGTTGATAGGGCGCTTTTCGAATGCGCTTTTCCACGGCGCTGCAGCTCTATTGGTTCCCGAGTTATGCGTTGGCTTTTGCCTTCAATGACATCTGGTGACCTGACCAAAAAAGTGACCGGAGTGATTTCGTCATTATTTTTGGCGCTATTTCGAACGCCGCCTTTCGCGTATCGCTACGTGGCCCAGGAGCCGAATTATAAGGGGGTGTTTAAACACCCCCCCCCCAACAGGGCGTGGAAATCCAGGACCCCAGCCAGGACCCCCCAGGGGGGGGGGGGCAAACGGCCCCCCTGTCCTTTTCCGTCGATATCTCCTAAACGGCTGAAGATATCGCCACCAAACTTTCAGAACCCCTCCCGGCATCAATATTACACGTTGTGACCAATTTTTTTTCCAGAGGCTACGATAGGTTGGCCACAAACGACGTCAGAATGACGTCATGTTCTGTCATTTTCGACCGAAAAAAGACCTTCGCGAGAAGACCTGTCAGGCCTACAGCTTTGAAGATACAGAAAAATGATCAAACATAAAAGGTGTAGAATTGACAGGGCTACAAAACTGCTATCTCTGATTTTTAAAATTTTTGAGTTTTGACCCCCAAAAATCAAAAAGCATTTTATTGGATATATTAGCCAAAACAATCCAAAATGTTTTTTGAGTTAAAACAGAATATATGTGATAGTACCTACCATCTTCTATCTACATAACAAATTTCAGATCGATACCTCGTTTTTTGGCCAAGTTATAGCGAAAAAACTGTTTAAAAATGATGACGTCAAATTTTCAAACTCAATTTTTGACTATTCTAGATCTCGTAGAGCAAAATAAAGACCACCATTAGACTCCCCGTGACGAGCTGCATCGAATCAATACCCATTTTATACAAAATTATCAACTTTGAAATTTGACCTAATTTGACCTGACCTTGACCTGACCTTCACCAAAACGTGACCTAGGCTGGCCCCAAAGGCTGCCTAACCCACATAATCGCATTTGTCATGTAAAATGGACCATAAAACATGTACCACACGACACTTTCATATTGTGAACCCGGGGACCTGACCTCGCTGTGACCTGACCTGGTATCAGTGACCTCAGATAGCAAAGTATGTGTTTGACGAACAATGTAGGGGAAGGTGGGGTAAGACGGACCAGCTAAGGTTTGAGGCCGCATCTACACTGCTCTCGTAATTCATATTATTTATAGTCTTCGGAATGCTCAATCCTTCCTCTGTTGATATGTGTAAAGACTAAATTTCACATTAAAGACATCTAGGTGGTGGATGCTCTTAAAGAGGGACATGTCAAAAACTCAGACAAGAAAAAACGTGGGGTAAGACGGACCACCCAGCAGTGCCTGCTATCCGTTCATGTGTGTTACACTTCTGCTCTGTACTCCTGTAAGAAAAGGTAACCAAAATGGTAAAATAACAGAATGAGCCTTTATTCTTTACTCATGTGTGATGGAAGTGCAGCTAAAAGCTGGGAACATGTGTATTGTGTGTTGATTGTCGTTTGGCATGAATACATGCTAACTGAGCACTTGCATGCATGGCTCACATGCAGCAAAGACTCCTTCCTGAAAAATTAACTTACTTAAACTTGTGTCAATGTTTTGGAAAAGAACTTCCCATATGCAGGGTACAATGGACCACAACAGGGTAAGATGGACCACAGTGGTCCGTCTTGCCCCAAATCTAAATTCTGTCATTATCATGACATATATGTCAAATAGCCCAACATTGCAAGACCTTGCCTTTCCTGAAGTGTGACTATAACTAAGTTTATAACTTTGTTCTTCACAGTTAAGTGCAAAATAGAAACTAATCGTGCAAGAAAGGCGCCGTAATTGAATCACCCGTAGACCTCTTATATTAGATCGGTTTGACGAAAAACAACATTTTTCTCAATAACTCAAAAGCTATGCATCCTAGCAGCATGAGCTCAAGGTGGCCATTGTTACGAAGGAAAACAAACATAGTGAGTGCATAAAGCAGTAGATACCAGCAGCGGTTCAGCCGGGAGGGCTGGTGGTCCGTCTTGCCCCGCTGGGCCGTCTTACCCCACCTTCCCCTACCATCGATGGTTTTCAATAAATTACCGATTTCCTCGATTTCACAACACATTTCATGAAATGCCTGCGAACGGTGAAAATCCGACCTTTGACCTGACCTGTGACGTCATCAGTTTGACCTAGGTCAATGAAATTTGGTCACAAGGTAGTTCCCGGGTGAGGCTATCGAACGCCGTTTGAATTTTGAAAATCGACCGGTAAATTTCCGAGATCTTAGGGGGGGGGGGCGAAACGGCCCCCCCCCTACGGGTGGTAGGGTCCGCCGATAGCCCTACGGGGCGCGATTTAATAGCTGGCGTGGGTTTCTTGAGCTGAGCCTCGTGACATTCAAATAAGGGCCAGAGCCCCATACGCCCATGGGGGCCCATTGATTGTTGGGGGGTGGGGGAGGGGAACAAATGATATGATGGCCCTCTGATTTGCCTTTGGAGGGGGGGGGGGGAAAGGGCATATGTGCCTACCACAGCATCATGCATTACCAACATCACATATGCATATGCATTACTTTGAGTGCGTCAAAGGTGATAATAGATGCACCGGCCACGGCAAACCCACGCCTTTATCCTTTCCAATTCCAAGCAGTCAGGCTACCGGCCGCCAGGCCCGCCACCGCGATATGACAGCGGGCCGGCTGGAATGCGTCATTTGCCTGCGGCAGCGCCCAGCTGCGCCGGGGCTGTTTGACAGGTCACCCATACCGTGACCTCGCCCCTCCCCACCTCCCCAGCTCGGTACTGACCACCCCTTCACTTTGACATGGACTCGACTAAGGCTCAACGCCATCTAGTTACGTCTGGAGATATTTACTAGATCCACTGTACCTACTGCGTCGACTGTACCTGTTTCTCCACTGTCCCCCTGGCGTCTCCACTCCGTGCCCATCAGTATCACCCCGGCTGTCCTCCAGTGTACCTGCCATCTGCTCACCTGGTCGACCAGAGGCTGTAGCAGCACGTGGAAACGCTCGCTGTTGAGGAAGCCCTCTGTGTCGTGCTGGCACACCTTGGTGAGCGTGTCCAGGGCGTACTCGGCCAGTTCACAGGAGCCCTCCTCGTCACCTGGGTAGCAGCCAGCCAGTCAGTCACCAATCGACGCGCGTCACTGCCGGCCGCCTATGCCCTGACGTGACAAACCTCTAACATCTTCTAGCCATGACACGTAAAAAACACGTATTTTGACAGGAAATCGACTTCGGTAGAAGCAGAGACTGACGCTATGGCACTTATGTCAGATAATGTTCGTGCAAAACGCCCAATCAGGCACATCAAGCTCAGTTTTGGTTCACTTGCTTAACCCGCGCCCCGCTGGGGGTCCTGGATTTCCACGCCCTGCTGGGGGGGGGGGGGGGGAGTGCTTGAACACCCCCTTCTAACTTGACTCCTAGGATACATAGCGATACGGGAAAGGCGGCGTTTGAAAGAACGTCAACAATAATGACGAAGTTACTTCGGTCATTTTTTCGGTCACGTCAAAGGTCGTACCAGAGGTAACTGATGGCCGAATTTCGTCAATTTTCAGGTCAAATGTCGACAATTTTCAACAAGTCGACGCATAACTCAGAAACTGAAGTAAATATTACATTTATCTTCTCCGACTACGCCGGTAGTCTCCACTGCTACTGGAGTGAAGATGTAGCGGTGTGCGAGACTGGCGCAGCGCATGCGCTTCAGGGTCTCGGCGACGGCTGCAGCTGCGCCGGGATCCACTGCACACTTCACCACGTGTGACTCAGCAAACGTGTCAACGCACGTGGCGTCCCATCATAGGCGTAGGAACGTTTTCGAAAAAGGGGGAGGGGCAGGCTCCCAGAGGTCCAAAACCTAACCTACCCCCCAAATCCAATTTCTCCTCGGATTTCGGCCACTTTGTTTTCGCAAACATGCTCAGAGCTAAAAACAAAATCGAGACAAAAGAAAAATGTTAAATTTTCAGGGAGACCCCCGTCCAGAAACTCAAACTGATGGACTTGTTCCCCTGTCCTCCGCAGCCGTAAGCACCCATGCAAATTCCAGAGGCATCCAGCAACTTTTTCATTACGAGCGAGCGTAAAACGTGCAAAGAGAGTCTTTTCAATATGCCTATAAAAATCAGCATGAACGGCCCAGCTAGGCTCAGCCGGGCCTGCAACGTTTTTAAGAGGTTTTATATCAGCGACCACTGCAACTGGGCTGATTGACTATCAGAGGCCGGTGTGGGACTTTTAGAGGCCGGTCTGGGCCCTCAAAGGCAGTTAACCCTCGCCGGAGTCGGACTATAAATTTTCTACATACGCGCCGGCCGAGGGGGGGGGGGGGGGTACGACCCCTCCTCGCCGTTTCGCGTCCCAGGTAGAGCTAGCGCGTCGCGGAAAAAAACGAGCGCGTGCGCCGTTACGAGACGCACAGATCGATACCCGATTTTAAGGTCCTAGGTCAACCGGTGACCTCTGAGGTCAGGTCAAGTGCCCCAAGGTACGGTTCCGTTTTTGGTGAATAACTTCGCAAAAAAAAAAACGGCCGCAGAGCCACGACTACCATAAAAACCGTCAAAGTACCGGCATAATCTCAGGCAGCTTTTGCCAAATTGTCAGGGAACTCAGATTTGTTTTTCAATAGAAAAACACAATTCTAAAGAATAGTGTTTTAACTATTGACAACAAACCTTCGGTTACTAAAAACCTGCATTCTTGATTCTAGCTTACCCCTAATAGAGATGCCACATTTTGGCAATTTCAGTACCCACCCCACCGCAACAGCCACCCATTGTCCAACGACATCTAGCAGCAGGCCGATTTTGACTGAGTTGGCCCCCAAATGGGTGAGCCACACCCTTTCAGCGATTGCCAATTTAAGCGACTGAATCTTTTGAGCGAGTGACAATTCGGCGAAATCAATAACAGCAATCATCACATATAACGAGCACCAGAATCAGCGAAGCCAATTTGAACGAATATATTGAGGTCAATGAAGGACCAAGTGATCAACTGCAGTTACTACAGCAAAACGAAGCTAAACGATATTTTTTATACAATTCCCGGAAACTTTCCCCTCGAGAAATGTGTCTCATAAATAAATGTCTGCGTTCTGGGTAGTTAGTTCTTTCTATCACATGAGCGAAACCTTTTCAGCGATTATCCTTTTAAGCGTATTTTCTTTACCTTCGCCCCAGTGGGGGGGCATATGTTACCACCCTGTCGCGTTTTTTTTGCGTGTGAATAAAAAACCGCGGCGCGTAGCGCCGCGCCGCTTGGGGTAGCTTTTGGTACATCAATTTTGGACAATGTGTGAGATTTTTGACCCCAGGTCATGTCAGGTCAGGTCACCAGGTCAAGTTAACTGACCAAGCCTTAAAAAAAGTTTGCAATCATGTCCAGTCTGCAGTGTTTGTCAGAAAGGTTTTAAACTTGGTGGATTGCATGCTGTTATGGGCGCCTACAATTTGTATATCTCGGAATTTCTATATCCGTGACCTAAGGTCAGGTCAGTGGCGTGACCTTTCCATTACATTACAAGTCAATGGAGAAAAATGAAAATGCCTCTAGATCCGTGTGTACGCATAGGAACAGTCCAAATATTTCAGAATCACAATGATTTAGTCCACTCGTGATGACCAAGGTGTCATTTTTACTGATAGCCTCTAGAAAGGTCATCCGAGGTCATTTGAGGCTACAAACAGTTTTTTTTGCCAATAACTCGCGATTGGAAAGAGATAGAACGCTGGGGATGGTCTCATTGTGTTTGTCTTGTTGAGACGCATCGACTGATATGCAACATGACCTTTTCCGGTCAGGTCATGACCTTGACCTGAGGTCAAATTTTCAAGTTGACCTTTTAAGGTCAAATTATAGTTCATTCGACGCGTCTCGGTGAGGGGAACACGATCCTGGCAATAAAAATGTCGTGGCTTTTTGAAGTCGAAAGTTATTGTCGAAAAACACTTTTCGTAAAAACAGCTATTTTTGGAGTTTTTGCCCTCTGGAGGCTAAACCGTTGACCTGAAGTCAATATTGATAATGACCTTTTCAAAAGAAGAGTTCAAAAGCTATCGATTGCTTTTCCATGCGTTTTTCTAGCTACCATAGTTCCTGAGATAGCGGCATGTTTTCTGAAAAATATGATGACAATTGGCAAATTTTGACCTTTGATGACCTCTAGTGACCCCAATATTGCTCTAAGGTGAAAAATGACCGAAATACTTTCAAACGTACGCATTGAGAGCTATCGACTGTTTTTTACCGCGTCTTTCTAGCTCTCTTAGTTTTTGAGTTAGAGGTGGGTGGTAACATATGCCCCCCCCCCCCCATTAGGGCGAAGTTGGCTGAGACCGCCACTGGGGCGCGGGTTAAGTCCAATTATCAGGGGCGGCGCCACGGGTTTTCGATAGGGGGGGACGGGGACCGAAAATCGAAAATCCCAAAAGTAGATACTGATTGTGTATGCAAAAAAAAACGAGGCACGTAACGCCGCGAAACTTGGCAAGGCCCAAAACACATCGAATGGTGCATCCCGTTTCCAAACTTATCCTAGGACAATTAAGATCGATCACCTTTTCAAGCATCCTTGCCTCTAAATCAAAATTTGCAGTCTTGCCAACTCAAAGCTGGTTTCCTACAAGCTGCGAATTGCTTAGGTATGAGTAGCAGTGCTAGCTATATATTCTTACGTTTCGTGCTTTCAAATTTTCGATCTTACGTCTGGTCAGCTTCAGGGCTTCACCATCATATAGTCATGGTGGAGGAAAAGTGGGAATGTCTTCTGCTCTGACAAGTGCGCCAAAACTGCAATATAATTTCAGAATCATGACATCACCACCTGATCCATATGTAACGGGCAGGGTGCAGCTAATGGCTAGCCGTCAGTGGTCATGTCATCGGTGGTCACTCAAAAGGCCATGCTAGGTCATGGAAGGTCACCAGCCGTTATTTGATCACACTTTCTGATGGATTTTACTTGCCAAGAGCTTCGCGGGAAAAACGAGCGCATGCACCGTTGAAAAAATTGAGTGAAAGGGTCTCAGGTCCGGCGACCTCTGCAGGTGAAATGCCCCAGGGTAGGATTCCGGTGCTTGTTGATTAACTTCGTCAAAAATGGCAGTAGAGCTGTGGTGTCGGCACCATTGTGTTCGTCATGCTCGAGCTGGCACGACCTGCATCGTTCTCATATTCACCCTCCAATCGTAACTACAGCAGGCGCTGTTACGATAGCTCGGCAAAATCCAGAGACCTTCATTACCTTCCTTTGGGAGGTAATGAAGGTCTCTGGAAACCTCATCCCACATCTCTTTAGCATTAGTGGCTCTCCTTATGGAACAGGTTTCTTGACTGGTCTGTTTCACCCCAGAATTCAAAGACTATAATAGTCAAGGTAAATCCGAGCGCACCACAGTGAGCACAATTTGATAAGCTGGTGTATCTCAATTTTCATGTAGAACCTTTCACGTATCACGAACCTAAAACCCTTTCGTGCACTCATGCAAAAGCAACTGCCATGTTTCAACAGCTGGTAATGGCATTTTCACAGCCGCTGACGTAAGAAGGGGAGGGATGGGGGGCTCGATTAGACCCGCCGACCGAACTTAGTTTTGCAGAAAAAAAAACGAGTGCTATCGAACCCCTTGACGAGAGGGAGTCGATGCTATATCCAATTATAAGGTCTTGGGCTACTGCGTGCTTTTTTGGTCCTGCCTGTGATCTATCCGAACACTTCTCCCCACAAGTGCTGGGGTTAATGGCATAGATTTCAAATGGTTCCTGTGGTAGAACTGCCATGCTTGAATTTGACTAATTAGGAATGGAAAATGTTCATATGGTAACGGAAATCTATGGAATTTCAGTGAACTTGGTTTTATCGGCAATGGGGTCTGGCAATGGGGTGGGGAGGTTATAAGTAATAACCCTGCCTGGCGCCCCAAAAAGGGGGCACGATCCCCGAGGCCCTGCCGATCACCTTATAACTACAGGCATCACAGCTCCACACCTTTTGCAGATGGCCAGGACCCCCTGCGATGCATCCCAACAGCAATCTTTATTCAGAACCTGCCTTGATTAACCAACGATGCCTTAAATGCGACGGATAGCTCTAACTATAATGCATTATTATCAACTATTGAACGACCCTCGCCGATAGGGGGGTACTGTACCCCCCTAACTTTCGATAGCGGGGGACCTGTCCCCCCCGTCCCCCCCGGTGGCGCCGCCCATGCCAATTATCTAGACACATCTAGGCAATGAAAAAAAATAAAATAAAAGGCAGCTTGCTTCGGAACTGGATTCGAATCCGGACCACCGCACAGTGGGGATTTTTCCGATCTAGCGCGTCTTAATTCCAAAAATCTTTTTTTGATTTTTGTTTATTTTTTTGTGTCAGTGGGGCTAAGAAATGTCTGCATTTTTCATATATGGTATTGTTTTATCTTATGTCCACAGCAAGACTAGGAAAAATGCGCCCAAAGTTCACACTCATGCGTGATTACTCAATGGGCTCAGTAAGGCAAGAAAGTATAGCTCAATTTCATTGTCCTGTCCTGTTGGTTTTATTCTTGCGAGGTCTTAACCCGCGCGGGGCTGGGGGGGGGGGTAAATTTTACCCCCCCTCGCGAATTTTTGCGATATCTCAAAAACGGCGGCGCGCAGCGCCGCCAAATTTTCAGTACCTTTTCTTACATCAATTTGACACGTTCCCTGAAAATTTGAGCGAAATCCGTCGGAAAATTTTTGAGAAATTGACGTTTTAGTGACGTCATGTTCGCCATTTTCGCCTCAAAAACGGCAAAAGTTCAAACGCCGCTAACATCTTCATTTTTAAAGGAATCAAGACGTAACAAAAAAGGTTATGCGTAATTTTACTTTGTCTATCAAATGGCTATCTCGGTTTTTTGAAAATTTTGGATTTTGGCCTAAATTTTTTCAAAAAATTGACTTTTTTGGGAAAATCATTATAAAATCCAAAATTTTGAGTCTATCGAAAAAACCGGAATATATGTCACAGACGTGGTATATGTGCACCTACATACCAAATTTTAGAAGAATCGGTTCAAAAATGTGGGAGTTATTCAAAATTTCATGACGTCACGACACACAAATTTTTTGAAAAATGACTTTTTTGGAACTTCTGGACCTCGTACGGAAACAAAAATAGCACCATTCGATTCGCCGTGAAAAACTGCATCAGATAGACACCTTTTTAGGCCTTAACAACCAACTTCAAAATTTGACCTCACTTGACCTGACGTTGACCTGACCTCGACCTGAAATTCATCCAGAGGTGGTCCATATCACTTATTGAGTGTGCCTATTGAATTCTATGAGTAAAATGACCCATAAAACATGTGTCGCACATGCCCTTTTCTATATTTTGTTTTTTGGTGACCTGACCTGACCTGACCTGACCTTGACCTTGACCTCTGAATGATGTTGTATGCAACTAATATTGTCTTGGTAGCCTAAGAACACATTTTGGGCGATCAGTCTCAGTCCATGACTCCATTCTTCGGCAACTACTGTGCAAGGCCGATACTGTAGAAACTTGCAATTTGTACCCTTGACCTGACCTTGACCTTGACCTCAAACTTTAAATTAAGTACATGTTTTTAGTAGTTCGTGATGAGAGCTTTCGATTGGCGTTTGAATTTTCCAAATCGGACCATTAGTTCGGGAGATAACAGGGGGGGTAAAATTTACCCCCCCCCCCAGCCCCGCGCGTTCGGCTGGAGACCCCAGCCCCGCGCGGGTTAAAGTTGCATATCTTCTGAAAGGCACCTTTATTAGGAATGGAATGGCAAACAGAATGTATGCCACAACCTTACTAAGGTCACAAAAAAAGCCATTTACAAAAAAAAAACTTACAGACACCATATTGAAGGAATGGCATTCTATATAAATGTAGGAAATCAACAATGTTTTCCCCACATTTCCACTCCGAAACATATCCTATTGACTTCGCCACTTTCTCCTGCACAAGACAACGCCTAGTTTGGCTGCCGGAACTTGCCTGAACACGGAATATTCACATTAGAGTATCTTAATACCCCACTCTAGGAGCGCTAGGGCAAACAGCACGATATAGGTATGTTCCGGACATAGACGAATAATTTTACTTCGTGATTTATATGATGCATATTTTCTGAGACACATTCATTAGGAATAGGATGACAAGCGTACATTATACATACCGTAACCTTATTAACCCTCGCACTTGTGGGGAGGGGGAGGGGGAAGGGGTCATATAAAACCCCATGGTTTTTGGCAAATTACTCGCGCAAAAAGCGGCCGATCGCGACGAAACTTTCGGTGCTCTTGATTTAATGAATTTTATATCTAACCTAAAATTTCATGACTCTGACCCAACTGACCTTTGACATATTTCTCGAGACCATGTTTGGCCGGAATCGCGATTAGGCGTATGCCAGCTCACATTATCCGCGGTTTCCAGTCTTTTTGTGGTTTTAAGCGTTCAAATATGTGAAATGATGTTGGTGCCAAACATTATGGTGGGTGTCAAGGTCACGTGAAGGTCAAGTCAATGACCTTTGATGACCTTGGTTCACTTTTTCAAGTTTTACTTGTTACTAGGGTAGTTTTTGGTGCTGATTTTGAATTTAGCAGCCATTTGAATATTTACGAAGTAGTTCTGGTGCCTTCGTACCATGTTACGAAGCTGTCAGTAGTAGGTGACACCTACTATGGATGGCCGGCAGGACGCCTACTGGTCGATCTGACCTGACCTGACCCGACCTGGCCTAAATGCATAAAGACATCGTCTGTGATAAAAAACTAACATGAAATTCGTGATCAGCACCCCAAAATACCCAGTAACACCCTAACTTTACGAAATTTCAAGAGGTCTCGATTTCCCAACTTGTGTTGGGTTAGTAAACTGACTTGGAAAGTCAACTAATGACCTTGGACTTTGAAATTGGATATATTCGGCCTCATCTCGTCATAGGCAGCACGCTTGATTTTTCCGCGAAGCTCTAGCTGAATCAGGGGCCATACGGCTGAGACGGGGGTCCAATTGAACCCCCTATACTATGTTGATTATGCACATTTACAGGTAACATTCTCACCAGAACACACCAGCCAATATCTGTGCACAATCTGGCTACAATACTACCTATGGTTTGCCCTCTACGAATAAAGACGTGCTAGATCGGAAAAATCCCCACTGTGCACCGGTAAGGTGTTTCCATTTGGAGTCTAAGCTCTTATGAGGCACTGATCGGATCAGTGATGCCCATGGAAATAGGGTCTATGTCTAGCGCCAGAGCGACTGGGCCGCCAGCTCTCCCTTCCTTATACAGCTGCGGCTGCCCTAAGCCGCCGACCAACAATCAGCTCTTTATAAGCAGCCGGTCCGGCCACGTCCGGCGGTGCTACAACTGGCACCTGGCAGTAGCGGTCGCTCCGAGAGACTGGAGGCGCCGCTGAGCGCGGCTGCCAGCGGCCGCACCAGGTGTCCGGCGAACAGCACGAAGAGACCCTGCAGCCGGCCGGCCAGTGCGTCCGTCAGCCTGCCGGTCACCGAGCCGCTGTCAGCCACACCACCACCACCATACATACATACAGACAGACAAACAGCAGACAAGCACCCCTGCCTCCCTAGTGAACCTCTGGCGCCGCCCACCGCTAGTACAGTCGTGTACAGGTTGATGGTCCCCTACTCTTTATCCACTGGGTTCCTATGGCTCAGCATTGGCAGCAGCCGCCTGGTACCGGTAGGCTGTGCCGCATGACCCGAGAGTGAAGCGGCACAGTCTACCCACGCCGTTTGACATCGGCTCGGGTCGCCGGGTGGAGCGCTTTGTCAGAGGTCAAAAAAACTTCCTACTCGCTTACATTGTAGGCGACAGAAGCTGACAGGCACCAGAGACATTCGGTGACAAAGTCACGAAAATGGTGAACACACTGCATCGCATTTGTTGACGGCGTTTTCGCACACTGCTAGCGAACAGACTAACCAGCCAATCCGCGGCGAGAATAACCCTGAGCGAACCAATCGGATGCTGGTGACACGAGGGGACAACGCTGAGCTGACGCCCCAGCCGCCAGGGAGCCTTCACTGTGGATTTTGTAGGCCCCAGGAGCCAACGCATCAAAGATTTTGAGCGGGCCTTTTCGGCGCACGTCTATGAGAGGTATGCTGTGATCATGAACACGTAGCAAAACAGGAGTGGACTCTCGCGAGTAGCGCGTGCTTGTCCAATTTTCAAACAAGTTTTAATGCTTTCAAGAAAGGGACTGGCGCCGTGATGAAAGCTGAGTTGTATTGTGGTTATGAAAGGCAGGAATTAACACTGGAGGTAAGCAGGGGGGTGTCACTACTTTGCTTCGCCATAGGTCCAGTACTGATGTCATTGGTTTCGGACCCGGTGACGTCAGTGCTGGCTACATCCGGGAACTTCTTGCACTTGGTTCTCATTAGAGGTGGCCATATTGTTTTGTCCCGTGACGACACATTTGCGTCACTGAGTCCGAAACTGGCTGTAAACAAATCGCTCAGTGTCGCTACCTCCTATATATGGCCTTGGAGGTAAGGAATCTTGGGGTGTCTAATTTTGCTAGTTTAGGTACTTGTAAGTTGGATCAACAACGCTGGCCCGGTGGGGATCAAAAGCAAGGCTGTGTGGATTTGTTGCCTGATTTTGAAACACTTGCCAAAGTTGTCAATGAATAGATGTTTTTACTGTTAATGTTGATACAAATTTCATTTTGATTTTAATCTTTTCAGCCCTAGAAGAGCAGGAATTTCAATTTTCATTAGCTGGTAAAAGTAGGTTTACCAGTCCAAGGACTCCGAAAAATGTCGTAGGTTGGTATGTAGGTTGTAAGCTGGGAGGTTGTAGGCTGGTAGGTTTTCTGTTTTGTGTTGGTATGTTGTAGGTAGGTTGTAGGTTAGTAGTTATGTAAGTTTGGTTCAGGCTGAATTGTTTTTCCTTCATTCCGACTTCTACTCTTTTACTCTTGCAAAAAGTGTTTAAGAACTCTGAATGAAAGAAAAACATCATTACCTAACCTAATCTTACTTTCTACCCTACCACCATACCACCTATTACCTACCAGCCTACAGCCTATCTACCTTCTACCTACCTGTACCTACAAGCTACAACTTCCCTACCTTAAACCTGCCAACCGACAAGCTCCGAAGCATACAACCCACCTACCTAGCACCTACACCTATTTTATTTTGACTTATTGTATACTATTAACAAAAATCTAATGATTAGAATTTTGGTTCAACAATATTAGTGGCCTTGATGTGGAAAAGGAACGTTTTGCAACATGTTGCATAGGTAGGTATATTGTATTATACATAGGTAGGCACCTATTATTTGTTATGTCATAACAGGTGTGAAATCTCACCATATAGAACACAAATCTAAATGTATTATGGAAAAATGTAAAATAGAATGTAAGCAATTCTTAAATGCATCTGCACAAGATTAGTTACACATGTATTCAGTGTCCCAAAGTTGAGTTTTGGCTGGGGTGTCAGAGGGGCATATTATCCACCAAAAAGGGGTAGAAGGTGGAAACTGCTGGTTAGAATAGATACAAAAAGAGTGAGATAAGATCAATAGCCTTTATTTTTATCCATGAGTATCTATTATGATCATAAACCAACTCCAAGTATCCACACAACTCAGTCCACCACACCTGTCCACCTGTTTAAGTCCACCACACCTGAACTGCCTTTTGAGGTAACAAGGTGTTCTTGGCTGAGAGTGGTTAATTGCTCTTAGAAATTGGTGGTGTGAGTGGCAAATGAATCTCAGTATTTCCCACCCAAATCAACAAATTTTGGGACACTGTAATAATACATTATCCAGGTTTAGGGCCACACTAACATTGGCGACACTAACATTAACACTGGCCTGATGAAGCCTATATTTTTTCCCAATTTTATCACCCTAGTGCAACACTTATCCGGCCTCTGGGGGCAGGGGACACAAAGGGGGTTGAAAAATTTTGTAGGTGACACAAAATAAGTTTTTTTTACCTCTGCGCTTTGTAGACCAGCTGTCGCGTCAGACCAGCGCGGGGGGAGGGGCTCGTCTCGGTGGTTGGCGTGGGCTGGCGAGTGGTGTGGGGCGTGTTGGTGGACCATGGGGGCTGGGCGGGTGTGTGTGGTCACTTCCTGGACCTGCATTGCACATTTTGCGTCGCTGAACAATTGCATTCCGGTTTTTGCTAAGCACAATGCACGGAAGACCCAGCGAATATAATTTACTTGTGCATTGTGCAAAACGTGATTTGGCACGGTATCGAGGCAACCATAGGTCTTGTGCCACATTTATGCATGATATTTAGGCAATAGGCTTATGAAAATGGTAGATTGATCGGATTGATCCTGGATGTTAATTCGTATGCTAAATGTCGACATGTATTAAATGAACGAATGAATGAATCAATCAATCAATCGACAATCGACATGTAGATATAAAACCGTATAAATGGCTCGCAACCACTAAAAGCAAACCAGATCCTAACTCGGAAAAGTAGCCGGAGCCCCGATGAGGCTCGAACCAGGACTCCACGTTGAAAGTTTTGCCAACGATCCATCATCATTCCACCAAGCTAGAGCGACCGGCACCCGAAACCACAAAAACATTCATTGACTTTGCTGCCGACCTCCCGGCCCCGCCGCCCGCCCGGCCAGACTTTGCCCCGGCCGTGGCCACCATCCGGTGTAGCTCAGCGTAGGAGTGCTTGACTGTCAAACTGACCGGTAGTGTTCGATACGCTTCGCGTGCTGGATGTTTATTTCTGTGTCCGAGGCTATGCGATTAGTCCACTTTTCAGAAAGATTATTTGGTGACAGGTTTGTTTTCTTTCTTTGCTGCAATTCATGAGGAGACCGTATGGACCCTTACCTGTCCTTCCGCACCCCACTTGGGAGATGGGTGTTTGAACCCCCCTGGGTTTTGTGAATATCTCTAAAGCGAATTTTTGGAGGGTGGATTACGATCGGTTCTATGCGACAAGTGACCACACACACCCAGCCCCAGGTCCGCTCACTCCCTCCCCACATCACCCCCGCCCCACACCACACTCCAGCCCGCCTCATCCACCGAGCCGAGCCAAATAGACAGGCCTGACCCTTACCCCCCCCCTCCCCCCCAGCCGGTGTAACGCAGCGTCCGGTCAAATCGCTCTACCAGGCGACCCGAGCCGGTGTCATACAGTGTGGGTAGGCTGTGCCGCTTCACTCTCGGGTCATGCGGCACAGCCTACCGGTACCAGGCGGCTGCTGCCAATGCTGAGCCATAGGAACCCGGTGGATAAAGAGAAGCGGACCATCAACCTGTACACGACTGTACCAGCCACCCCGCGGACACCCCGCCGACTGCGGCCCACCAACGCCCAGCCGAAACCGGCCCGCGCCCCCGCAGTCTGCCAGACACACACCTGAAGAAAGTGACGAGCCGCGCGGTGGGGGCGCCAGCGCCGCTCGCCCAGTCGAGCAGGCGCACCAGCAGCGGTCCAAAGGTGGCCTCCGAGAGCCGCGGTACCACACACGTCACGGCCTCCAGCACGGCGGCCTCCACGCGGCGCGCGGTGGCCGGGCGTGCGCCGCCGGCCGCGCGGAACTCGAGCGCCCTGCTCGGCCACCGGACGCCACCGTCACAGTGACACAGCGACACAGCGACAGCTACACAGCGACAGCGACACAGCGACAGCGACACAGCGACAGCTACACAGCGACAGCGACAGCGACAACTACACAGCGACAGCTACACAGCGACACAGCGTCACAGCTACACGTCAGCGACACAGCGACAGCTACACAGCGACACAGCGACAGCGACAACTACACAGCGACAACGACAACTACACAGCGACACAGCGTCACAGCTACACGTCAGCGACACAGCGACAGCTACACAGCGACACAGCGACACGACAGCGACACAAGACAACTACACAGCTACACAGCGACAGCTACACAGCTACAGCGACAACTACAGAGCGACACAGCGTCACAGCTACACGTCAGTGACACAGCGACAGCTACACAGCGACAGCGACAACTACACAGCGACACAGCGTCACAGCTACACGTCAGCGACACAGCGACAGCGACACAGCGACAGCTACACAGCGACACGACGGCGACACAGCGACACGACAGCGACACAAGACAACTACACAGCGACACAGCGACAGCGACACAGCGTCACAGCTACACGTCAGCGACACAGCGACAGTGACACAGCGACAGCGACACAGCGACAACGACAACTACACAGCGAAACAGCGTCACAGCTACACGTCAGCGACACAGCGACAGCGACAACTACACAGCGACACAGCGTCACAGCTACACGTCAGCGACACAGCGACAGCTGCGCAGCGACAGCTACACAGCGACACGACAGCTACACAGCGACACGACAGCTACACAGCGACACGACAGCGACACAAGACAACTACACAGCTACACAGCGACAACGACAGTGACAGCGACACAGCGACAGCGACACAACGTCACAGCGACACAGCTACACAGCGACAGTGGCGACACAGCGACAGTGGCGATACTATGACAGCTACACAGCGACAGTGGCGACAGCTACACAGCGACACAGCGACAGTGGCGATATAACGACAGTGGCGATACAACGACAGCTACACAGCTACTCAGCGACAGCGACACAGCGACAGCTACACAGGACAACTACACAGCTACACAGCGACAGCTGCACAGCGACAGTGGCGATACAACGACAACTACACAGCGACAGTGGCGATACAACGACAGCGACACAGCTACACAGCGACAGCTACATAGCGACACAGCGACAGCGACACAACGTCACAGCGAAAGCTACACAGCTACACAGCGACAGCTACACGGCGACAGCGACATCTACACAGCGACAGCGACACAGCGACAGCGACAGCTACACAGCGACAGCTACACAGCGACAGCTACACAGCGACAGCTACACAGCTACACAACGACAGCTACACGGCGACAGCGACATCTACACAGCGACAGCGACACAGCGACAGCTACACAGCGACAGCTACACAGCGACAGCTACACAGCGACAGCGAAAACTACACAGCGACAGCTACACAGCGACATGACCAGGCACGGTCACGTCAGCCTGCTCACTTAACACTGAGGAAACTTTTCCAAAGGGCGAAAATGGACAATGACTCGTCATTCAAGGGCGAAATTCAAGCATCATGTTCAAATTAATGATTAAGCAAAGCGGCGAAATCGCATGCCACCGGTAGCGGCGGAATGTACGTTATACCATGAGCGGCCGGGAATATTGCCAGGCCTGAAGCGGCGGCACTGCTGTGGTGAGGGAGCGCCTGTGAGGTGGCGCCATTTACCGGACAATGAGCGCCTGTGAGGTGGCGCCATTTACCGGACAATGAGCGCCTGTAGCGACGGCAGGGCGGCGCTCAGCTCCGCCACATCGGCCGAGCGCGCCGCATCCGACAGCACAGGCATCAGAGCGGCCAGCGCGTCCGCCGCGCCGTCGGCCACCAGTCTGCCGAAGCACTGGTCCACGGCCGGCAGCAGCACCCGCAGTGGCACGCCGGTGGCCAGCCGCCGTCTGCCGGCCGGTCCAACACAGGTCAGCAGGCGCCCAGCCGGTGTCTGCCGCGCCGATTATGATTTATGGGCATGGACATTGGACAATGGACAGAAATAAAGTTGAATTGATGCAAAAGCACAAACTTATTACGAGGCACCTCTTCAACAAAACAAAACGAAACAGAGCATCACCGAAATAAACACACATACACACGCCAGGTCTCAGACGCAACCCCGCCGCCCCGACAGACCTTCTGTCCGTTACAGAGCTGGACCACACGCGCTCCGCCAGCCTGCGGCCTCCTCCCTAACCGTCTGGCCAGACCGGGACGGTGCCGTTCCATGGCATATGCCGTCCCGGCCCCGGGGAGAGCTGTGGGATACCTCCCCGGGCCGGGGAGATCTAGTGGATAACTCCCTGGCGCTCCAGACGGGCCGCGAGTAGAGCAAACGACAAACAAACAAACACGCTAGAGTGCAATAAACCGTGTATGCGACTGAATGGGGACTATGATAACATATTAACAGTGAAATAAGTTCAAGTACTTCATAAGTTATTGAGGATAAAACAGCCGCGCATCAATTTCGGGACACCGTGTACTGTACTGTAGGGTGTCCTGGCCCGCAGTCCGTACCGTGTCTGGCTGAGCCGGTGTGACAGTCAGGCGGAGCCGTGCGCCGTACCGTACCGTGTCTGGCTGAGCCGGTGTGACAGCACGCCGGCGCCGTCGGTGCCGTGCGCGGCCGACAGCCGGCTGACGTGCGCCACCAGATCGGCCACGTACGGAGAGATGAAGTGGGCCAGCGCCTCGGTCAGCTTCAGCGTCAGCGTCACGGCCGACAGCAGCAGCAGCTGGTCGCTGGCGAGCGAACACCCAGTCAGGTCGCGGCCAGCCACACCCAAACTCTGCGCAGCATCACAAACGCACACTCACATCATAGCTGTATGTACATTATCGGCTTCAGGAATCAGCCAAATTGCCGATGCCTTTTGGGTCAAGTCTTCAAAAATAGAATTTCGCACGCATATTTCCAGGGGCTAATACAAAATTATGGGGGAGGGGGTAACGCATTATATGGGGGAGATGCATAATAAAACAATTATAATATGTCGATTTTTCGGAGCGCCGGCGGATACCGAGGGGTGCCGTTGGCTCCCGTAGGGGAGGTTATCTCATTCACTGATCTGCGCAGCTTGAATCAAAGCTTGTCAAACAGCTGTTAAGTTCTCAGGCGAGGAAAACAACAAAATTCCGTTTCCTTCAGATCTTAACCCTCGCATGTGTGCGGCGTTTACCAGCGTCTAGCGTGTGGGGGGGTCGGTTGGACCCCCCTGCCGTTCGGCCCCTGATTGAGTTAGAGCCTCGCGAAAAAAAAAAAACGAGCGTGCTGCCCGTGACAGGAGGAAACCGATGATACCCAATTTTAAGGTCCTAAGTCATTGGCTGACCTTCCAGGTCAGGTCAACGACTCAAAAGTCGGGAAAATCGGGACCTGCTATAACTTCGTAAAGGGAAGCTGTTACGGGGTTTTTCGGGGCGCTGATCACGTATTTCATGTTATTTTTTATCACAGATGATGTCTGCATGCATTTAGGCCAGGTCGGGTCAGGTCAACCAGTAGGCGTCCTGCCGGCTATCCACAGTAGGTGTTAACTGCCACTAACGGTATCGTAACATTTTACGAAGGTAGGTACTAAAACTACTTAGTAAATGTTCAGATGGATGCTAGTTTTAGTTTAGTTTAGATTAATGGACTGTCATTAGACTAGGACTATTCTTGCGTCCATTTCATTTTAAAAAGTAAGCAAGTAATAGCCTAATATATATATATATATATATATATATATATATATATATATATATATATATATATATATATATATATATATATATATATATATATATATATATATATATATATATATATATATATATATATATATATATATATATATATATATATATATATATATATATATATATATAATATATTATTTGTTTATTTGTTTATTAGGCATTGTCAGCCACAGGCAAAACCCAATGACGGCTGAGGTCAAAGTAAAATATAAACACGCACACGCACACACGCACACACACAAGACACACACTATTTCATCACACCTGCCTACGCACATGCATATGCCTATACCCACCACAGACAAAAAGCCGCGGGACACTTAAAGACAGCAATAGCTCGTATAAAAGTGGCAAAAGGCCAAAACACTGAGGCACAATAAAAAAGGAACAATAAAATGACACATGATCTGTAAAAAATGCAAAAGATAAAAGTAATGCAAACAATAGCAGCCTACGTCATACAAGTACCAAGGCCTCGTGCGTAGGCACGGATGCGCGCGGTGCATTGGAGACTAGGCTGAAAGAAATCCTCGTCTGGATATTTGTTCAGGAACTCATTCACTAGTTTCGGGACTCGTACGCCGAGGCCGTTCTTCACCGTATCAACCCGTCCAAAAGGTACGTTGAACAAGCCCGTCTGCCTAGAGCGCCGGCCAGGAACACGCAGCGAAAACATAGTCACAAGTAGTCCACAGTCCAGTCGGCCGGCAAACACAGAGCGTATGAATTTCAAGTCGGTCTGAACAAGTCTAGCTTTGATGGACATACAGTGAAAATGTTGGAGGAGAGACTCATAGTCCATCGAGCACCGGCTATGTGTCTTGGCGCCTGACCACATCAGGTAACGGTGTTGCAGTCTCTCCAATCTCGCAAGGTGAGTAGGTGCTGCGCCACTCCAGACGACACTCGCGTATTCCACAACCGATCTGACATGGGCATTGTACGCCGCCATGACTGCCCGGTGATCGAAGTACGGCAGCCGGGTACGGTGTGAGACCTGCATGCTGCGCATAAGCAGACCTAGCATGCGGTTGGCCTTGCTCACACAGGCGTCAACATGCGCGCCAAATGTTAGCCTGGAGTCCAGGATCACACCCAGATCTCTGATCTCCGTACACCGCTCGAGTTCGTGACCATCTAAAAAGTATGATGATGCGATGGGAGATGTACGTAAAGTAAAGGTGATGGTCTTGCATTTAGCCGGATTGAGCCTAAGATGCCATGTTTTTGACCAGTCACTAAGACGGCTTAGATCAGCCTGAAGAGAGTTGACGTCCGCTGGACATTGAATTCTGTGGAAAATTTTGACATCATCAGCATATGACAGTGAGCTGGTCTGAAGTTGAGACGGAAGGTCAGCTACATAGCATGTGAAGAGAATCGGACCGAGAATGCTGCCTTCCGGAACTCCAGATTGCACTGGGATCCAGTCCGAGTGCTTGCCATCCAGAATGACCCGCTGATAGCGGTGGCTGAGGTAAGAATCAATCCAGCTATATGCAAGACCGGTGATATTAAAAGAGTGCCTAAGCTTGTGTAAAAGTAGCCTATGACTAACACTTGTAAAAGCAGAAGAGTAATCGGTGTAGATCGTATCGGTTTGCATGCTCTTTGTCAGTGAGACCCAACAGTGATCCATAAAACATGCCAGATTTGTCACGCAAGAACGTTTTGGAAGAAACCCATGTTGGGAGTCTGGAAGAGCGGGTAGACATGCACGAAGTAAGCCCTCACACACAACTTTTTCCAAGATTTTAGAACTGATTGCCAAAAGTGAAACTGGTCGGTAGTTTTCTGGGAGTTTTTTGGAACCCTTTTTGAATACCGGAATCACATTAGCCCGCTTCCACGTCGTCGGAAATACTCCGGATCTCACTGACAGTTTACATATGATCTCAAGAGGGACCGCAAGCTCATCCGCACATTCACGCATAATCCTAGCACTTAGTCCGTCCGGTCCACACGCCTTGTGTGGGCTGAGCTGGCGCAGCAGCTGAGCTACGCGGCCCGCTGGCACGTCAAAAGCAGAGAGGCCTGGGGCGTTCAGAACCGGCGGCTCGGGCAGCGGACCCGCGTGCGGGGCACTGAATTTAGTTGCAAAACAGGCATTAAATATGTTAGCGCGAGCGAACACATCCGTCGCGACCCGCCCGCCCCACTCGAGCACAGGAGACGCCGATGCATGTGACTTCAGTGATTTTACAAAAGACCAGTATCGTTTCGGGTTGTCTTTAAACTCTCGTATTAACCCTAGTAGGTATGAGCGGTAGCTTTGATCGGCCTGTCGCTTGAAGTCAGCTCTGGCAGCGGAGTGGGCCCGAATGTTCTCTTCAGTCGGACTGACTTTCTTACGCTTTTGAGCCATCTCCTTACGTTTAAGGAGGTCGCGAACAGTCCTATCATACCAGGGTGGGTACTTTCTACGCAGCTCTACCAAAGGTACAAAGTCCTGAATAGCGGCAAAAGTAAGATCGTAGAACATCATTGTCGCATCGTTCACATTAAAATCCCACAGCACACTCCACGGAAGCAGTCTCAGCGACTGCCGCAGAGCAGCAAACTCCGCACGCTTGTAGTTGTACACTTTGGTCCTGGTCACCCGGGGCGGGACACCCAGGTCCACTGTGAACCGAGTTTCTACCGCCTCGTGGTCAGCGTCGAAGATCTTGTCACGGACCCGGGAGTGGGCCGCGCCACCACGAGTCACCACAAGGTCCAGAAAATTGCCGCCACGCGTCGGAGCCGTCACCGATTGCTCCGCCTCGCATGTAGTGAGCGCGTCGATGAACAGCTCGGCGCGGGCGGTGCGGCTGCGGTAGGTCGGCTCTCCGTCTTCCCAGGTAAGCTCCGGCAGGTTCAGGTCGCCAGTCAGTAGAAACGGGTGTCCAGTAGCGTGTAGCCCCCGCAGGAGGTCGGCGATTTTCTGCGTTGCCTCATTCTGGCTTGGGGGCCGATAACAGATTGCCAGGTAGGCCGCTCGACCGGAGCCGAGCTGGACGACCAGAGACTCGCAGTCCGTCTCGAGATCGGGTCTGTGGACGGGCGACAGCGAGGCCTTAACTGCGCAGGCCACCCCACCACCGTTCGCTGTCCGGTCGCGCCTGAACCAGGTGAAGCCTTCCAGTCCCAGCTGCAGCTCAGAGTCAGTCGGCAGGCTGGGAGCCATCTTTGTCTCTACAAAGCAGAGGGCGTCGAACTCCGCCAGCTCTCCCGCGTGCGTTCGCAGAGTGCCCAGCTTCCCCTTGAGGCTGTTGACATTCTGGCTGTAGAGGCGGAGAGCGGGTCCCGGGTTGTGCTCAATGTTCCCGGACAGCGACAGGAGGAGCAGAAGCCACCAGCCGCAGCCAGCCCGCTTCAGCAGCCGCTGCCTCCGACCCCCAGCTGCCCAGAGCTGGTGAGCAGCCGTGCAGGACAAGGTACCGCTGTCTTCGCAGGTGGCAGCACCGGCTGGACCAAAAGCTTCACTGTCTAGTGTCGGGTCGCGGCCGGTTCGGAACAGCTCCACGGCAGCCAGGAGCAGCAATACAGTCAGTGCCGCAGTCAAAACCATCGCCGGTGCCGAGGCTCGAACCCCGGTCGGCCGTGTGCCATGGAGCCTCGTTATGCACCCGGCCATCTCTCCACCCCTTGTGCCACGCCCCGACCCCGGCTCGGGTCGGCGCTCGGAGAGGCCGCCGCCAGGGGAACCTGGTATGGCCACGTGTCGGGTCACCCTCAACCACGCCCGACGCTAATTGCCTATTGTCGGGCGTGTACACTGTTTAAAGTATAAAAGTTTGTTACAACTGAGATTGTAGGCCCAGAGTGAACACATACACCTCAGGAATAGCCCCAAAACTCCGTATATCTAGGAAAAAAGCGGAGCGGCACAAAACACGTCAGCGCCTCCAGACGCCAGCTGTTGAACCCCACTTCTAAGCCACACTTCTGAGTCGATCGATCGTTGTGTATTCGTTAAAAAGCTAACAGTTTCGGATCATCTCGATCCCTTTTCAAAGCTATTATGAAAACACACAATGACAGCACGTTACACAAAAGAGTATAATCGTGTCGTGAATTTCGTGTAACGTGCTGTCATTGTGTGTTTTCATAATAGCTTTGAAAAGGGATCGAGATGATCCGAAACTGTTAGCTTTTTAACGAATACACAACGATCGATCGACTCCGAAGTGTGGCTTAGAATAATTATTAATGCGAATCTAGTGCATATATATATATATATATATATATATATATATATATATATATATATATATATATATATATATATATATATATATATATATATATATATATATATATATATATATATATATATATATATATATATATATATATATATATATCAGTAAACTTCGGCAACAGGTCGTTAGATATACAGTTGAGATGGAACACAACAGCGTTTTTAGCAGTGATTAACTTCTTCTGTGTCTTCTCGATATTTCGTACTGTGTTTCTGGTAGTATCATTGGTTTTTGATAATAATTCACCAATTAATGTCATTTAAATTCATTATAATGCGACCGGTTTCGATTTATTCACAAATCGTTTTCAAGCATAATGAAAGACGATACACAGATACTAAGTAAACATAATGACAGTTTGAAAATGAATGTCCTTCAGGACCGAATTGATGAAAATGATCACATAAAAATACACTACAGCTCGTTCATTTGAAATCCGGAATCCTTTCAATTCCAAGGACAGTGGGAGCTTACAGTGGTGGCGTTCAAACACCACCGTAAGTATGGGTGCTGCAGAGCGTAAAAATGCCGAGGTAGTCACGTTGACAGTTGAGTACTGGATTCCTCTCTCTGATGATGACAGCCTCCAGGATGGCCAGCTTTCGGTGGTTCCTTTCGTGTTTTAGGATGTTGAGATTTCCGACGAGATCTTCCGGGTGATTTGCCGCTGGTGCGCATCTCTCATATGTTCGAATGGTGGATGCTGATGTAAGTTCATAGTCTGGCGTCGAGAGAGCGTGGTTGTAGTCTGACCAATGTAGTCCACCGGTTTTTCTTGAAGTTTGCAACCTTCAATGGGGCATGTCCAGTGGTAGACTACGTTGGTCGTCTGCAGCCAGTCTTCTCGGTGCATGTTGTTGCGCATGATCAGGTTTGATGTCCTCTTGTTTTTGTAGTAGATCCGGAGTTGTATTCGTCTGTTTTCTGCCGGTTTCACGTTCTGATGAATGATGTTCTTGAGGACTTTCTCATCTTGTTTGTAGGCTGACGTCATCGTGTTGCGATAGTGGAGGATGACCATCTCTTGGGCTTCTTGTTCTTGGGCTGCTGGTGTTGTCTTCATGTAGTCATTGAGGGCTTTAGAGATCTCAAGGTCAACTTCTTTGTTAGTATGCTTCTTTGTTAGTATGTAAATGCTCGTAAACAACAACTACTCTAACATGATAACAATGATACTACCAGAAACACAGTACGAAATATCGAGAAGACACAGAAAAGTTAATCACTGCTAAAAACGCTGTTGTGTTCCATCTCAACTGTATATATATATATATATAGATATATATATATATAATATATATATATATATTATATATATATATATAATATATATTATATATATTAAT